GCTTCTCCCCGGGATGGGGTTGGGGTTGGGGTTGGGGTTGGGTTTGGGGACTGTAAAAAGCCAGATAAAAGTTTTCAAGAGTTGGGAGCTCTGATGTCGCCCCACTGCTAATTTATGGACGCACCCGGCCTAAGACGCATTACAAGGAATTCGCTGAGGAGGGGCAGGACATTACTGTGGATGCACTGGAAAAAAGGGGATCTTTTATTATACGCAAAGTTCTGCCTTAGTTCTGTTTGTGCCTAACCGCTTGCAACAGTGTATTTTCAGTCCAAGGAGCAGCATACATGCTGGTTCGCTTGAGTTACAGTGTATACAGTGCTTGGCAGCTGCTTAAGTGCGCTAAGGCACCAAATTTGCGCGCAGTGTACAACGCTAATGCCGCATATATCCGCCATTCAATTCGCTGCCACTCGCTGCTCGTTCTACATGACAAATTTTTATGGGCAAATAATTTGGCTTTCTCTCTCGTTGATTTTATGGCCCAGTGGGCGTGCTGGGGGCGTTGGGGCGTGGCCGGCTATCAAAATCATTTGTTTGCTAATTAAATACACTTGCACGTTGCGTGCTGATGAGCGATTAACCCATTCGGTTGATGTGTAGCATAGTTTTCAGGTGTACAAAATTAATTGAGTTTCAAATGACGGACGAGCGACAATGGCGAATTTCCCATTTCCCATTTCCCACTCCCCATTTCCCATTTCCCATTTGGCATTTCCCGTTTCCGTTTCCCGTGCGGAAGCATTATTTAAAACGCATAAAACGGTTGACGAAAACGAACTGAGTGTTAACTAGAACTGGGGCTACTACACTGCGCGGCAAATCGAGGTACTGGCATAATTAAGCACACAATTTGGTGCATTTTTAATGGATTTGGATGGGCTCGAGTTTATTGCTCGTTCAAATATTTACCCGTGTCTGTGATATGCAAAGCATTTCGGTTTGGCATCAAATGGTTTGACCTGGCTTCACTTTGCCAGGGATAATAAATTAACATAGCAGAGGGTTGCTTCAAAAGTTCGCTGCCCTATTAAGGAAAAACGAATTTAATAAGCAAAGTAGATTCTGCATTCGAGTGCCACTTTTTCACAGCATACTCCTAGATACCTTCATTTTATACCCGCAAGAGGTGACCAACTCCACAATCTGCCCTCGCAAGCATTTGATTCGCACTTGCACTGCGCTCACTAATTGGATGGCAGGTCAGTCCGAAGCTGTTACATGGACGGGCCAAGGCCAGTAAATATATATCAGATATAATTCATATGTAACTGAAGCGTGACAAGCACGCAGACACACGCAGATACAGATACGCACGCAGCTACAGATACAGATACACGTCAGTTACTCGCAAGATGGCTAAAGGAGCGCCATGGCTTTGAATGGATTGCACTCAAACAAATTCGAATTGGAGAAAGCAGGCCAGGATCGATTTTGCTCAATTGTTTCACGGCTGGTGACTCCAGTCGCTGCGCCTCCGGTGGAAAATTTTGTGTGTACACGGCGCGGCGCACTTGAGCCTGCCATTTAATTTAGCGTTGCTTAATTGGGAAAGTTTCAGCAGGACGCTAACAAGCGATAAGCAGGGGGTGGGGGTGCAGCTAGTTGTGGCAGGTTGTTGGTGGAGCGCCGACCTTGAGACACACGCCGCCCGGCGGAGTTGTTGCCACACGTTATCAGTAATAGTTAGCATAAATGCTCGCAGAGATTTACTAGCACTGGTGGCTATAAATGCAGGTAATGCGCGAAACGAATGCTTTTCCCAGCTTATCGCAGCCAGAAGCATCATCATCATCTTGAAATCAGTTTTTATTGAACGCATTTCTGCAAAGAAGCACGACGAAATTATAAATCGCCCGGAAGCGAAGCCCTTGGGTTTTTGTCAAGCTTGAGAAGGTTAAAGAAATACATAACCCCGCAGTTTTGCAGACTTTTTGCCTGTCGCCTAATGACCAAGTAAATCGCTCTGCTGAGCCAACCGGAAATGTGATTGATGCAGTGCATCTCCAGCTGCCCCTGGTGCCCGGGGAATTGGCCCACGCAACTGCGGCAAACTTCTGCTCTATTGACTATTCTAATGCGCTGGATGAGTGGGCTGATATGGACCCAAAAAGTACCCTCGACTTGTCGACAATGCATACAAAACCGAATGGGATTCCAGCGAAGCTGAGGGCGCAGCCGCCACAAGCCGCAACGCGTTGTCTATCAACATTTAGGCTAATTGACGCACTGTTAACCATGCAGCCATGTTGCCAAAAGGGGCGGCTGGGCGGTGAGGGGCGTGGCATGGCGTGGCATTGTAGCCACATCAAATGTGCCAAGCGATCTGCGAGCAGTCGAGGAAAATGAAATTATTACTTGCCGCATGCGGCACAAGTCGACTAATTGACAAATGGATAATGCCGGTCCCAGAACGGGCTACACTGGCAGAAAGCAGGATGCATCGATGCTAATTGAAATGCCACACGGACTCAGTTGCTCAGTGCAACGTATCCGGGGCAGCAATGCAGCTATCCATGCAGCTGGCGTTCCCAAAGGAGCCCCAAGCCCCTTACTCCGCGCCAGAAGCTCCAAGGAGTTGCCCATAATAGACTCCACAGTGCCCCGCAAGGGGCGGCAAGGGGTACCGAACTGGGCCGCACATGTGAGTGGCATATAGATAAAGTTGTTCCAGGGCAAGGAACTACTAATGTCTGCGGGGCGGCGGGTAGGCCGGTGGATGTGGATGTGGATGTGGGCACGGGCAGGGGGTGCATCTGCCAAATGGCATGTTCAAACAAAATTAGGCGCGGCAAGCTCGGCCTGTTGTTTCTGTTGTTCCTGTTCTGGTTTAGCACGGGTCATCAAACCAAGCCGAGATTGAACTGCATTGCGAACAGGGTGTTCGGGTGCCCAAACGCTATTTAAAATCCCTTCATGTGTGTCGAATTGCCGAGATAACAGGAAGCCCAATTTGGCATCGACCTTTTGACTTCGCTCACAATGGGGTTAAATCCATATATAGTGTTGCATACTTGAAGTTACTATTACTTTACTTTATTTCAAAGCAAGCTAATGATCCCATTAACTTCCCTAGCTATCTGCCACCAATATAGCAATCCTATATATTTTTTAATACATGCTGCCCCATCTCAGAAGCCTTTGCAATTTTTTGTTGAATATATCTTGGTTTTAATGCGCGTTTCCCTTTAGCATTCCAATTTAATTGTGATTTTTAAGTATTTCGTCGAAAATTACATTGCGAGCGCAAAAGAAAAACAAACTCGAAGCGCCGCAGGCGGATTTCTACAGTGGCTCCTCGGCAAATGCTACGTGCATATGTACGTACCACAAAAAAAATATACACGGCCATAAGCTTTGCAATCAACATTTCATTTGGGGCAATTTAATTCGACCGCTTTCATGTTGGGGCCCGTGCTTCAGGCACCCTGTTTTTGTTCTGTTTTTCGCGGTAACGAAAATATTTTTCAGGCAAGTGAAGAAAAATTAGCAACAATAAATTGAGCGGAAGTTGCTGCTCAAATTGAAAGTGGGCGGAAATGGCCAGGGGGATTCCCCGGAACAGGAACTGGTAAGCTTCGGAAGTCTGGGAAAGCTGGCAACGCCGGCCACCCTTGGGGCGGCTCAGTCTGCAGTGGGCGTGGCATGTTTGTCTGTGGCTGCCACTGCGGCCATACGGTCAACACACACGCAATCGCATACGAGTGTGTGTGCCTGTGTGTGTGTGTGCGACTACGTGCCACTTGCTGTTCCTGTGTGTCCTCCGCCAGCTTTGCCTGGGCTCCTGACGACTGCCTTCTGTCTAGATTGAAATTCCAGACCTGGGCCAAGATGGGGGGGCGTGGCGCGCCCCCTGTGCACTGGGCGAAAAAGGGCGGCAGCTTAGATGTCGGCGGCACAAGGCAATTCCTGCACAATAAATTGGAATAAATAAATTCAGCAAAAATGTGGCTCCCGGTTGCAAGCATCTCGCTTTTACTTACGAGTGTGTAGGCAACTTAGTCCTATAACTAAGCAGCATAAACATAAAAATGTTTTGCATAATTATTATTTTGTACAATTTGTAGCTTTTGAAAAGCATGCACCAAAAATCTGCTTTGATTACGAAGAGGGACTTGGGAATATTAATATAAAGTAAGAAGAATTTAGCATAAGTAGGATTAGTGGGATTGCTGGCTTTTGCCAAAACAAAATACATAGTACGCAGGTCTTATTTTGTAAGAGGTATTAGCTTTTGGAATAAATTTAGAAAAAACAAACAGGTTTTGCCTGTTCTCATCGAACTGAGACAAAGATGGCCACTCGCAGATACATTTTAGTGCTGCCAGCTTTGTTTACCAAGCAGGAAGATACTAGCATTTGCAATGTATGGCACTGAAAGTAATCCGAGTCTTCCTTTCTTGATTTTTCCACCTGTAAGGATGTGCGGTGTGCGGGGAAGTGGAGCTGCGACCGCAGGAGGAAGGACAAAAACGGGACAGGCGTTGCATACAGATTTTCAATTTCCATATCGTTTTGCCTGTACGCAGCAGTTGGTTGCTGTCGCTTTCCATGGCTTTTCCATGGCTTTTCCGCTGCGTTTCCCCTGGCTCTGCGGCAATTTCCGCTGCAAGTGCTGAAACAAAGGAAAAGCAAGCATGACAACGGAGCGGGAAAACTAAACGTAACTACTTGTACAACAACCGCAATAGCAAGAAACAAAACAATGGGCAAACAATGAAACGATGAATGAATGAGTAAATGAATTGACTGACCGAAACGCAGGCGGCGAAAATGTCACTTTCCAATTGAAACCCGACAGTCCGCAGTTGATTTTAACCAAAGCGTTGAGTAAATTCATTTAATTTCAAGAGAACCGCATGGTTTCAGGGGTTTTCCAATCAAGATCAGCATTGAACTTACAGTTCACTTACAGATTATCCGTATCTGTAGGATACCGCATATCCCAACAATCCAGCGCGCCAAATCGTTGAACTCTATCTCCTGATTTTCAATTGCAGGTGGTGAGGATGTCGCCAGCTGAGCAACTTCGCTTGGTCGGAGTATCGGATGCCTACCAGTTGGCGGCGAGCAGCGGAGGAGGAGGAGGCGGCGGCGGCGGCGGCGGAGGAGGAGTAGGAGCGGGAGCGTATGGAGGCGATGGAACCGGAGGAGATGCAGGCGGTGGTGGCGAGAAAATGAAGGATGTGCCCGACAAATATGTGACGGCGCTCTCCCACTTCCTCGACTGGCATTCCAATGGGACGGTGGACATGGAGCGTCTCAGTGGTCCCATTCTAAAGTCCAGCATCAAATCGGTTTACTGGCTGTTCCTCATCCAGTACGCCGCCCTCGCCCTTCTGGGCGTGGTGCTCAACGTGATCATCGTGGTGTACATCATGTACCACCGGCTCTACAAGGATGTGACCCATGCGTTCATCATCAACCTGGCCCTCTGCCACTTTGTCCAGTGCGCCCTCGTACTGCCCGTCTCGCTGATGGTCATGCTGATCCAGAACTGGATATTTGGCCAGTTTTTGTGCTTCTTTCTGCCCATGCTGCAGGTGAGTGCGACCAGAAACTAGTGCTTTGTATATGTACATATGTATATGGAGCGTGGTACTAAACAAGGGATTTATTTCAACTTACCCATATATGTATATTATATTCCGCCACAGGCAGACTCAGTGGTATTCCATTGCAATCAGTGTTTAACTACAGCTCAGAGTTATATTTATACCATTTGGGTGTGGGCTGCTGGGCGGAGGGCATCCGTTCGCAGTTGATTGAGCACAACATCCACACATGCCCAGATCTTCGGCTGGTGTGGGGCTGCTCCAGCTCATTATGAAAGCCACCGTGTGATTGACACATACCCAGGAGGCGGAGGAGGATGGGCTTTCGGTGGCGTCAGAAATCACAAGCAAATGGAATCCGTTTACTTTCATTCGATTTGATGCGCCGCCGTCTGTCACTTTGTGCCGCTTTTGTGTGGCGAAAACAAATGCGACCAGAAGCGAAAAGGACCTGAGTGAGTAGTCCTGGCCAAAGATGGCTATAAGGATGCTTACTTTTGGGGGCCAAGACGCCTGGCAATTCGATTAGGCCCGCCGTCCGTGGAACAGACAAATGATTACATTTACAACCTTGAGGCTGCATCAGGAGATTCTATTACGGGGCACAAAACGGCATGGGAATGGGCGTGGGATTGTGATTTGGATTCTGATTCCGACTCCGACTCCGATTCGGTGTGGCAAGTCCATGTACGGAACGGGATATGATTCGATTTGATTGCTATCACAAAGGGCGACAAATAGCAGGCGCACACAAACACACTTCTATCTAGTCACGTGTGCTACATACACACATAAGTGGGTGAACTCCTGTTCCTGCTCCAGTTCCTGCTCCTGTTTCTGGTCCACCTCCCGATCCGCCAAATGGAATGATTGATTGGCGGCGGACATTGAGCAGGATGCGCACTGAGGTGCTGCATAGCCGACAAGAAGCGTTAAATCTGCCTCTTAAGGAACTCTAATATATGTGGTTCTCGATTGCCTTAAGTAATGATTAAAGGCGTACGAATTCCCTTTAACAAACTTGATGTTTACACGACGCTTTGAATGTGTTGACATTTTTAATTCGCTCGGCGTTGCCAGACCGCGATGCAGCTTTAATAAGAGCTAACACAAAAAGGGTGTTCCAAAAAATGTCTAAAGTGTCAGTGACTTGTAGACTGTAAGGCAAAACATATCATTAACCTAACTTACATGTGGGTGTGCAGTACGTTTTTCCTTACCATTCAATTAGCTAAAACTAATCAAGTTTTTCCTTAGCGTACAAATAGCTTAAACTAATCAAGGACGCAAGTTTCAGATTTCACTTAATAATATAGTTATGATGAAGATTACTCGGGGTATGTTATGAAAAGTAAGCCCAATTGCATAATAACAGCAAATCTGCCAACCCTATATGTCATATTCCGGTAAACTTATGCCTCGAGTTGGCAGGCCATTAGCGTTAGCCTCTGGCAACGCTGCCATCACAGCGCTGGCAGCACGTTTTCTCAAGTTTAAAGTGTAAATGGAGACATTACAGGGCTTACAAAACAAGTTTAAAGTTGTTGCCTTAGTCGCGAGAGTTGGAATGCCCCTCCCCACTTTGTTGGAATCCTGGCAACTCTGTTTTTCCGACATTTGTGATTTTAGGATCCCGTTTTTTTCTGCACCTTCCTGTCCTGCTCGAATCTCTTTTAAGAACTTGCTTGCGGAATATTAGTTTCTGGAATTTTGCTAAACTTAAAGAGGCGAGCGCAAAAATGGTAAGCAGGAAGCTGAACCCATGGATTTCTCTTATTTTTCGTTGATATTCTACAGTCGAAGAATTCGGAGCTCCCGCCCAAGCACATGTATTATCTGAAAAAGCCCTCGCCAAACGTTCCACAACGACAGTCTACGGAAATTCCCAAAAATGCGCCACTTGCCCAACTTCAGAATGTGACAATTCAAAGACCGAGCGACTTTTCGACCGAGGTGGAGAATTTGAAAAGTCAGTTCTCGCTGTTGCAGAACCCGCAGATACGGACACCCAATAGTCCCTACAAGTACAGTGTGTCTCTCGTCCGGGCCGCAGACTACAAGGAGAACTGCGTTGGCCGTTCTCTGCTGAAATATCCGCGAAATCAGCTGCATGATGGTGTGTACAAGTGCTGCCCCCCAGACGCTCACCAGGAATTCCAGAAGAGCCTACAAAAATGCACCCAGCCAGCTGCAGGTGCCCCATATAACCATGCGCCCAAGGGACATATTGCATATCTTGAGCAGTGGCGTTCCAATTGGAATCGCATCATGGCCTCCACCAAGGAGATTGTCCTCCCAGAGAACCCAAAGCTCATGGACTTCAACATTATCCAAGGGAATCGAAGTAATGAGGCATCCAAACTGGGGTCAATCCCCACGACTCTTCAGCCTTATCTTCGGGATAATGGAAATAGCTTCGAACAGCTCCTCCCTCTTGACCTATCGTGTAGGAGTAAGGCTCCACCAAGGCATCCCATGTGCAGCTCCGACTGGCCCAACAACACGCCTGACAAGGAGCCACCGAAACATGCAAATAGGTGCCACCCACTTAGCGTGGATCATCCATATGCCATGGTCGAACGCAGTCCGGTTAAAACCATTTGGAACATGGACAACTTTTGCGATCTGGTTGCGAAAGAGGTCGAACTAATGGAGGCCCTGCCGGGCATAGTCCATTCTGCGGCCGAAGAACGGCGTTTGCAGGAAATTGAGGCGATCTGCAGGCAGCTCACGGGCACCGATTTGCCGGCTCATGTGGAAGTCCCGAGAGAACGAGAGGACTGCTACGTCCTGGGCACTGAGAAGCAGCAGCCGGCAGTCCCTCAGCCTGATCCAGAATCCACGGACGGACTGACAGTTCATGAAGCCATGTCCCAGCAGGCGTATCCGAAACAACCCTTCAACTTCGATGAAGCATTCAACGTCGTGGAGCAGTCAAAAGCGCCGCTGCATCCTCCAGAATCCATGGCCCTGCAAATGAATCGAGGAATGGGAACCTATGCTGCCATTGCCAGAGAGTCAATCATCAATGAAGTTCCTCAACATCCAATAGAATCCACGGCCACTGAAAGGAATGGGGCAACTATATCCTATACCAGCACAGCCGGACTGAATAATCAGGAAAATACTAACAAGAATCCGGATGCGGAAATCTTCAGCTGCGATGAAGACTTCGACATTCTGGATGGGCTGCGAGCCACTATTCCACCTCCGGAATTCTTTGGCGATCAGGAAGGGCCGGCAATCATGGTATTTAATGACACAGATCCGAACGATTTGGACCTGAATCCTGAACCGTATGCCAGTATCTTCGACTATCTGGGACTAGACTCGCCGCAGATGCCGCAGGAGCAGCCCAACAATGCGCAGTCCCATTTGACCACGTTCTCATCAGAGGATAAGGATTACAATGATGTAGTCGCCTCAGATGCGGCACATCCTGAACTGGAGTACGAAGACATGATCGAGGAGCTGATGGAAGAGGAGGAGCTGGTCTTGGAGGAGGTCGAGGAGGAGCTGGTCGTGGAAATGGGCGAGGAAGAGGAATCCCTCGATGACAGTTTCGATTGGACTGAAGAAATGGAGTCCGACGACGACGAGTCAGACTAAAACATATTTAATGCCTTCAGAATCAATGACATTGATAAGAATGTAAATGGTGCAGTTTGTAACCCAGTGCCATTTAATTTTGTATTGATTTTTTGAAGCACTCGAATAAATATGACGTTTTTGCGTTGACATAGGGGATTTTAAGTATTAAATGGAATCATGTATCGCAGTTGGATAGCTGTGCAATGCTCCGATCTCACTGATATATCTTCTTACCTTTTTCCTAGGACATACCGCTGCACGTGGCCATGATCTCCCACATCCTGATCGCCTGGGACCGGATGCGCTGGCTGAACGATCCGCTGAAGGGCCGCTTGCCGGGATTCGTCTGCTGCTGCGCCACCTGGCTAACCGGAATGGTGATTGCCCTGCCCTATCCCATCTACACCATCTACGTGGAGCTGGGGGTGAGTACGAATGCGCTCCTCCCTGGAGCACTTGTTACATTATTAAAAAATCCGCGAGCAGCCCACCTGGTTGCCAGGGCTGATCAAAGCCAAGCGCACTAGACCGGAGAATCCGCCTGGAATCCGCCACGGGAATCGTGCTCTCACCTGGCGGACTGTCTGCCCGGGCAGCTTGCCAGGGTGCTTGCCGCCGGAGTGGATACCAATTCGAGTCCGTTAACATCGCCTGTCAACGGACTTTGTGCCTGCATTTTGTTGCCAACAAATTTGGCCATATCCACTGCCGCCCAAGTTCAGCCACAACAGCAACAAGAGACATAAATATTTATGGCCCATAAAGTGTTGGAACTTTCTGATACACTGCCCCACCTTGTCGTGGGTGTGGGGTCCAAGGGTATCCATGGGAACCTCCTCTGTGCTGGCACTGTTTCAAATATGTGTGTATGTGCAGGGCTTTTCCCAAGCAGACCCTTCAGTCTGCATATTTTGTGAGCTGAGTGTTCCAAAAGTGAGCCAAGGAATGTCGCCATCTGAAATCAGGCATCACATTCTTGTTTTCAATAGTTCTATTCTTGGGCGACACACTTTGGACTGCAATTGAATTAGGCTGGCAATTTGCGTTTATTTAACCACTTTAAGGCCAAGTGAAAATTGCTGTGGGGTGGTCACATATAAATTTTCCTGCCAACTTGTGCGATTCGATGTCAGCTCGTTGTTTCTGGTGTTTTGTGAACCTACACGATGGCACAAATTATGAAAGTATGCTAAATTAGCTGTGTGTCTACATGGACTTTACTTTCTCAAAAATTAGTTTCTAAAAGCTGAACTGCCGGGGATGCTTATACATTGGTGGCATCCGTTCCATTAGGCCGATCGTTTCCTCCAAATGGCTGCAATCACTGCCGCCACCTTTGACCTGCCGGCACTGGGCGAGTTGATTGAACCCTTGGTGGCAATTTGCGTAATTTCTTTGGCAATTCACTGGCTACAAAACCTGTCACTGCGAGTGCGGCAACAAGTGGCAATCCCCTGGAGAAACGGGAGCATCTCCTGCAGGCCCAGTCGCCCGTCAATAATTTCATTAATTCAATATTTGCGTATAATTTGATGGCTGCCCTCCAAGGCAACTGCTGTAGTGGGGCTTATTATCCCGCAAGGGGGTCGTTCGCCCCCTTGCCGCCGCCCCTGCCTCCAATTTATGAATATTTTAGCATTCTATTAGGGCGACACACACAGCAGGTCCTTGTCTGGCCCAAAATACAAACATACTCGTGCATAGGTGTGTAAACAAGTCCATGTGGACGCTGATTGCCAATTCACAATTTGGCAAACTGCTGCTCCACAAATCCTCCAGCCAGAGATCCTTGTGCCTGCGTTTAATAAGAAAAAGTTTGCCATAGTTTCCAGTCCGAAAAAACAATTCGATTGCAGCCAAAAGTCAAGCACTAAAATGAATTGCTCCGCCGTCCAGGTTCGGATGGGTTCAGTTCTCGTTTGGACGCAGTTTTCTGGCCAGTGCGGCAGCGATTTTCTGATTGTCCGATTTTCTGATTTTCCGATTTTCGGATTTTCCGATGTTCAGATGCGGATAATAAGTGATTTCATAACTGGGCGGCGCAAAGTTTTCCGTTTGTTTTGTGTGCTCGGCCTGGAAAAGTGTCAGAAACTTTTCTCCACACCAGGCAAATTGAAATTTCCCATATTTCCACGCATGCCCCTCGTGCCCGGTGGTAGATTCCACCTGGCAGCGGCTTCCCTTTGTGCGGCGGCAAATTGATTTTTTAGGTTGTCCCCCAAGCAAATCAGTGTGGAAAAATACAGAAACACAAATGCTGGGATCCCTTTAGCTTTACCTCCATCAAGTGGCAGGTCCTGTCGCCCGATGTCCTGCAGGAATGGATTTTGCGAGGCTTGTTTACATTGGATAATCCCTGCAATTCCACGTTTGCTATCCCAATGGGCCCAAAACCACTGGAAAAATTGCTCCAAATGTATATATATGTATTATACATTTTGCAGGACTTCAACAATGAATCCAAATGGCTGCATGCATTAATGAGATAGGGATTAATTGCAATACTTAAGCCTATTTGACGTGCAATTTTAGGCACTGCTTTGTATCCGCCAGTAATCCAGGTAAATACGAGACCTTAAAGCACTGCAAACAGTGTTCAATTTGTGTATGGAGCGGCATGCTAAGTGGACACTTGGATTACAGCTCCAGAATCTCTGGGGACAACGTTTATGACATGGTTTCGCTGCAATTTGGAGTGGCTACACTTTAAGTTTGTTTCTCGCAGCTTTGGTAATATTTTCGAAACGCTTTGAGGGGGCGAAAGTTGAGTGGCCAGAAGTTTGGCTCGGTTGAGTCCTCCTTGAACTAGCTGAAATCGTTGTGTATGCAAGGAACACGCCTTTGTTTCGTCCTGGCTCCTCCTTTCGCTCCTACTTGCCGCTATTTGCTCCGCTCTGCGGCTACAGTTTATTTATGTTTACTGTTCAGTTGTTGCTCCTCATCCCCAAGTCGTCATAGCCATGCCCATTTCCATTTGCAGCCCGTCGCTGCCTCGTTGCGGATATCCGGTTGCCGGCGTTGACTTTGGCACGCGGCGTCTCCTAATCCCCTCCAGCTCTGCCCCTGCTCCCGCTCCCGCTCCCCCGTTCCGTGTTGCCAACAGAACTTGGCCGGATATGCGCCTGCAAAACGAAAACGAAATTACGCCAAAGGGTCCAGGACGGGTGGGTGGAAAAATTCAAGTTACTGCGCAGAAGAAACGGCTAAAGTAAACATTATCAAGTCTACAAAAGGCAGACGGCCGGGACGCTCGGGATTTGGCCGAAATTGGGCGGAATTGGGCTAGGAGCAGTACCAGCAGCAGCAGCAGCAGCAGCAGCAGCTGGGAGCGATTGGGATGACACAACCTCAGCGGATTCCCTCGACCAAAAGGAACGATTATGCGATTCTCAGTTTTAGTATTTCAGGGCTTTCCATGAATACAACTTAACCAATAGAAATGTGGTAAATAATAATGCTCTAGATAGAGAAGCGCTAAAATTAGGGAAATACTTGGTGTTATCTGGCAGAGCAAGAGCATCCAGAAGTTGGCAACTGGACAAGCCCGATCCATGTGCCATTTTATGTGGCGCAGAAAGAAAAGAAACTTTAAATACAATCAACTGGCCCCATTTGCCTGGCTTGGGGCTCGTTGTAGCAATTTGTAAAAATTACACATGCACACTCGCCCACACTGCGAGAAAATGAGACATCCGCTTACAGCGGAAATCAAATGGCCCCTTTGCCCGCTGCGTCCTGGTGCTGGTCGTGGTCCTCCTCCGCCGGAGCCCAGTTCGTTCTCATCTTCGTCATTATTGCGCATTATTAGTGCGAGATCTCCATCCTCGTTCGTCCGGCTCCCCTTTTCCATGGGGCTTATTAGATTGCCCTTTGCCGGTCACAAGGCGCAATGCAAATTGGCCCATTGTCGGGCCAAATTAGTCGATGTGTCCGGGGGTCGCATGTAAATGTTCGCTGGATCATTTCACGGTTCATCCGCATATTGGAGCTGTAGACCTTTGACACATGCCCATCCATCAAGCCAACGCTTGGCACAGGTCCTGTGGCGAGTCCTTCAAGGACCACAAATATGCATGAAGTGCTTGGCTGCGTGAATTTTGCACTCGACAAGTTGCAGTCCACGGATTTGCCAAGGGGCACAACCTTCATGGACTCCTGGCTGCCAAGCAATTTACTTCAATTTGGAGGAAGCATGCGTAACTAGAAAGCAATTCATAATTTCCATGTAAATACGTGCATATGTTTGAGGGACAGACAAGTTCCAGAATTTGGTAGTTGGGTTAGAATTGTTGAAGGGTCTTGAGAAGGGTCCTAGTGGGTGCTTCTATTCCGAGGAACCGGGAACCTCATTAGCCTTCTGCTTTGTTGATTGGCATTTTCAATTATTAAGCAGGCGGACGTTAATTCATTTCCACGGCAATTTACACTGAACGGATTTACACAGCGGGTTGTTGGTGCACCACCACCACCACCTACACCACCTTGCCCCACCCTATTTCGAGCCCAACCACCACCCACTTTCCCCTACTTGCTGGGGCATAAAAGTCCTATTGGCGAACTGCAAGTGGCCCCATCCAAGTTGATTCCCATTTGCAGTTTGGCTTTTTGTTTCGTTTAACGCAATTTTAATGGCCAGCAATGATGCTGCCCATCGGCGACTGCTCCGCTGGCTGCTGCAAATTGCGTGGCAATGGGCAGTAAGGATTAGGAGCCAGGACTCCGCTCTCTTTTATTTTTTGCCTTTTTATGCGCCTTGCAATCGCCGCAAGGCCATCAATTTTTATCACCCACCCATGCTGCCCGATTTTGCCGCCGAGCAGCAACAGCTGGCGTGGCAACTAATGCCATTGATAATGTGGGGCAGGTGGCAGGTGGCAAGTGGCAAGTGGCAGGTGGCAGGGGAGTGGGGTGGCACTTTGGGTTTCGGCAGTGCCAGGCGGGATGGGGAACCGAAGGGGTTAGCAGGTGGCAAACGACTGTGACAAATAACCCAATGCGTCTCTCAGCCATCCAGGGTTCGCCCAGGTGGGTGGTGGCTCCGCTCCAGCGAATTCCTGGTAAACGTTTTACATATTGTAAAATAACAATATCAACAAATTCAGCGAAAAGACAGCCACGAGATGGAGTCCAGCGAGGGTAGCTAAGCCACTTCCAGAGTCTGCCACTATATTTTGTAACAATATATCTTGGCACAATTTCTGGCAGGGATCTGGAACTCTTGGAGCCACCCAGCCAATGGGGGATGTCAAATTTGTGCCTGCCCGCGGCCCAGAAATGGCAGCTCGAATTTCGTTATAATATTTATGCGCTCGCTGTGTGTGTGTGCGTGTGTGTGTGCATGTGTGTGTGTGGGTGGTTGGCTGAATGGATGGGTGGTTGGGTGGTTTGGTGGTGCCCGCTGTTTGTGTGTTTGTGCCAGCTGCGT